TCCACTCTATAATTTTAACCCATAGTTAGATAATGTCCAATTTCAACGATGATATGGGCCTTGTAACCGTCATCAATAACCTTAATAAGCATATAGACGTGCACCAACAAAGAAATAACGAGGAGATAAAAAATATGCAAGAACAGAATAACACTAAACTATTGTAGATTCAATAAAAGGCAATAGAAGAACTAGAGATGGTTCGAAAATAACACCAGGCAACCTAAGAGAAAATAGCCGAAGACTTAGAACTAATTCGGAAACAACACCAAGTCAAGCATCAAATCCTTGAAACAAAGTAAAGACTTTAGTCAAACGACCACAAACGAGTAAGTTAAACATGCATCAAGAAGAGATCGTAAAGTCAAGTGCAATCCCAACAATTGCTAGCGTCGACCAATAGAATACAACAATTCGGACTAAACTAAAAGTTAACCTGCTCATATATAAGGAAATTCACTTAACCCAAGTGCCAAATTGCCAAGCCCAAGAAGGATTCACTTGAGGGAGAATCTCAAGCACGAAGCAACAACCAATTCCCTCATTCGAGAGAACCTACAATGGAAGTCCTACTTCAGGGTTTCGACCAGCACACTCCCAACATGCACAAAGAATTAAAATTCACAAGAATGATAACCATCATGATCACTTATTCGTTCCAGGAATCATGGAAACATCTCTTCCACCTAATTAGGAGCCACTCGACATAGAGAAATATGATGGTTTGACAGATCCAGAAGAACACTTAGCGATGTACAAGACACAGGTAAAATTGTATACCAATAGTGGAGTCGTTCTCTACTAAGTCTTCCCCACCACATAAAAAGGATTAGCCTATAAGTCTGTTGATTTATATTATACGTTAGCAGAACAATTTTGAGTTAGATTCGCAAACTATTACATTACTCGGGTCACACGAGTATAAAAAACTATTACCCTACTCGAGGTCACATGAGTATAAACTATTACTTTACTTGGGGTAGCATAAGTATAAAACTATTATCCTACTTAGGGTTGCATGAATATAAAACTATTACCTTACATGGGGTTGCACAAGTATAAAACCATTACTCTATTTGGGATCACATGAGTATAAAACTTATCCTACTCGGGGTCGCATGAGTATGAAATTATTATCTTACTTGGGGTCGCACGGGTATAAAACTATTACCCTACTTGGTGCTACACGAGTTTAAAACTATTACCCTACATGGGGTCACATGAGTTATGCATATCTTATTCGAGTATATGAATTATAAAAATTTGTATTTACCTTACTCGGAGTCACACAAGTAATACATACCTTACTCAGATATATGAGTTATCAAAACTTGTATCTACCTTACTCAGTGTTAGACGAGTTATACATCTCTTACATAAGATCACATGAGTTATGCATATCTTACTCCCTATACGAGTTATCAAAACCTACATTTACCTTACTTGGGGTCATACGAATTATCAAATATCTTTGCATGACAAATAAATAAGTTTTACTCAGTAAATCTCACGAATATATGTTTATCTAACCAAATAACGATTGATAAAATAAACACATTCAAACAGAACATTATTGGATGAAATTATCAACTTAACCTTAAACTCATTTTGCCTCTATTCTTAAAGAAATTCGCCCTCTAAACTTGGGGGTTTTTGTACCTACCCAACACAAATCTATTAAAATTATTTTATTTATTCAACTATTTTGTTACATATTATTAATTATATTTGTTATTTTGTATAGTATCTTGTATAAGTTACTATCTTTTGGTCTATCAGTTAGTACTTTTTGGGCTATCTTATTATATTTTGGAGTATTATTATCTTATGGGTCTTTTATAAAAAGACTTGTTTAAGGATTATATCTCACTTCATTACTTATTTTTAAATATATTACTCTATTATCTAAAAGTTAACTTGAGCGTTGGAGTGTCTTTCATCATAGGTGGATTTGTGCTCTTTCTAATAAAAATCATTCAACATCATCGAAGTCAAAGATAAAGTCAAAGCTTAGAACAATAATAATTATTTTTTTTATATTTAAAAAATAAATTTATTTTTATTTTTTTAATATCTTATAATTATATATATAAAAGGACTAAATCTCATCTCATTACACATTCTCAACTATATTAATCTATTATCTAAAAACTAACTTAAGTATCGGAATGTCTTTCGTCGTAGGTGGGTCTATGCTCTTTTTAATAAAAGTCATTCAATATTCTTGAACCCGAAAATGAAATCAAAGTTCAGAGCAATAATAATAATTTTTTATATTAAAAAAATAATTTTATTTAATTTTTTTAATTATATATATATATATAAACAAACATCAAAATTTCAGAGAATCGTGACCATTCACGTCTCTCTGAATAAGTTATTATCTATTAAAATTAACGTTTAATAAAATATATATTCAGTATTTAAAGTATAAACAATATAAAATCTTATTCTTTTAAAATAGAATAAAATAATATAATCTATTAAATAAAAGTTGATAAAATAGATCACCCAATAACTAAAATATTTTATATAAGTAGTATAATTTTAAAAGTCAAAGTTTTATCTATTATTTATTTGATTATAATTATAATGTATTTTGATAAATGAAATATTGTACTTATTTCAACTAGTGATGAGAAAGTAATTTATATGAATTGGTTTTCATGTTTAAACATATAAAAACATACATTGAACTGAGTTAATACTTGATATAGGGAAATAAAAACTTTATGTTAAAAGGGATCATCATTATATATATTTACGTTTGTTAGTAAAAAAATATGAGAAAGGAGTACGAATATATTAATATTAATATATTTTAAATTTCTAGGGGTATTTCTCATAAGGGTCCTCTATTGTCTCCCTGATTCTTAAATAATACACCTTCAATTTTGTTCAAAGAAAATTAAACAACATCAAGAAATTATTATTTTTTTAGTTACTTTTAGTGAAATAACTTAAAACATCTTCATAAAAATTGTTTATTTAAGTGTTGGGTAAAGTCTTTTCTATTTTGAGAAATATTAAGTAGCATGATTGATTGTCTTATTAAATAGAGAAAAAAAGTCATTTAAAGTTTCTTACATTTTCTTTTATTATATAAAATTTGAGTATGAGTTATTTAATGATCACGTGACATAGTATTTTAAATAATTTATCATATTACCAAATATTCCTCAAACCAAAAATGTTTTCGTCACTTCATGTATTATAAATATAATTTTTAACTCCTATTTAGTCATATAATCACTAAACAACTTAATTTTTTTTATAATGGAGGAAATTATAAACCACTTAAATTGAAAAATTGTAATTCGTGGTATTTGTTATTCCTGATATGATTGCTGTTTTAATATGAAAATTGTCTCGACCATTTGTTTCTTATATAAGAAACAAATATTAACTTTAAGACAATCAATATTTAAAAATAAATATTAATTTCTTTAACTTTAAAAATTAAAAAGATCTTATAAGAAGGGACGAAGAGAAGATCAAATGATAACATTAGAACTTTCATTTAATATTATTTTATTGGATTTTTTTCTTCAAATCTCATGGTTAGATTGATAGCATAAATCATATATACAAATTTTTATACGAATATAATTTTTTTATAGATAAAAGTTAATGTAATGTATAATTTTTAAAATAAACTAAAGTATCAATAATTTAATTACCTCGTTATTATTGTTTAATTTTAATAAATTTTGATTATAACATTAAATTATTCAACATTTGAATTGACAATTTATTTTTCATGTACAGTCATGAAAATATCACAATTAGTTGAATTAAACTACACTATTGATGGAAATACTAAAGTAAATAATTATTATTATTATTTGAAAAAATTGAGTAACACTTAGAATTTAACATAACTTGCTTAAAATTACAATTTATGTTATTTGTTCAAAATAATAGTCTTATGATTTTCGTAATTATAAATATAGAGGTTTTAAATTTTTTTCTTTAAAAAATATATATATATATATATATATATATATATATATATATAATTTAAAAAAATAATTTTACCATTTTAATATTATCTATATTATATTCCATCATTTTCTCTTCTTATTATGTTCTTATTAATGTTCTATATTAACATTATAGTGTTTCAATTTGGATTACACAATAAAATCCACAAAATCAATATAAATACGAGTCTTATTTTATATTAAAAAAAAAACACAACAGAAGTATATGATTGAATTAATTATTAGTACATGTTTCAATACTTGTCTCCATTGCTATTATCATAATTGGAATTTTAATTTAAAAAATATTTTGCTATGCATTAATTAGGCTGCATTATCATTCAAATAATGTAGTCCTATATCATTAGCTTAAATGAGAAGTCACTTATAAGGCGTCTTAGTTAGAACAACATATTCATTTTCAACCCCATGATCTAAGAAAGGGTATTAAGTCTGAGTTTATACAGAGTACAATATTGGTCCAATGAAGTATATATTTTGTACAATGGTTACAGTTACCGGATAAATGGGCTGTGGTGCATCATAGCTGGCTTTAGTTTCACGATCCAAAAACCAAATCACGTATAGAAGCCAAAGGTGAGCTGTAACCATGTACTACACTGTCTCTCCAGAAAGTCATTCCTGTCACAAGGAGAAAACGAAATTATGTTTCATACAGGGCAAAAGAAGGTTATGTAATTTTGTATTCAAGTATCTTATATGCTTCTGTTAGATAAAATAGTTATAACAATCTTATTGTTGATTATGATTTACGAAGACAAGAATATATAACTACATTAAAAAAGGGCTAATTATTTTTTAAAATAAAAGTACTTAATAATACCTAAAGAATCACAATGTTAGGAATGGATGCAGCTATGATCCCAACAGGAATACCTATTTCATAGATTTAACAATATGGTTGCTCAAGACATGGCACTACAGTGAGTATCACATAATCAGCAGCAACGGTAAATGATCATTTCATAAAATGGAGAAATCGGGATATTGCACAGGTCATGAGTCAAAAATGACATAGCACTGCCTCAGCCTAGGCATGGTAACAGATATATCCGTGACAGTGTTTATGAGTGCTATAAGGTTAAGAGGGTAACCTATCCACGAAACCAGACCAGCAGTTGCTGCTAAGAAGAATTCCTTGCTGATAATGTTTAAACTGAAAAAGGCGCAATATTAGTTTACAGCCGATTCAATATTTTGCTCAAAAGAAGACCAGAAAGAAAAGAGCGTAAGCAGACTAAACATAAAACTTACAAGTATAGGCATGCAAGATTCCCGTATCCATAAAAGAGGGTAGCCCACACTGAACCAGTGAACCTACCATCACAGTTATTGAATTGATAGGGTAAATACATGCAGAAGCAATTTCACCAGATTGCAACAAGCATGACAATTAAAATGGGAAAGTATAAGTAATGGTAAAGTTGGGTATACTAATGGCAAACAATCAAAATATTTTGCTGAAGTGGTTATCATTGAAGGCAAGCAATTAAAAGCAATACTGATAAAAATATTTCCAAAAACCCCTGTCTTGTATTGAATATGATAGCACAATATATACATGAAATACAGAAACATTCTAGGCTATAATTACGCTAACCATTCCAGTCGGTATCCTAAATTTGTCTATTAACAGATATGACATTAATGTACATAACTGTGCATCGCTGTCATGTCAAGCTAAATATGGAAAAAATTAATCATGTAGAATCATGGCATGATACGGTATTTGTAATCGTATATTCTATGTTTATCACCCTCCCTCAAGATGGAGTATGAAGGTTATGAATGCCCAACTTGCCTAAAAAAGAACCAAATTTAGTGGCGCCAAGAGATTTGGTGAAGAGATCACCGATTGATGATGAGTGGACACATAGGAGGGTTGGATATGATTGTGTTGTATTTCATCACGAATAAGATGACAATCCACTTCAATATGTTTTGTCCGTTCATGAAACACAGGATTCTTGGCAATGTGAAGGGCGACTTGGTTGTCACGATAGAGAGTCATAGGGTCGGTGTGAGTAATGCCTAGGCTCGAAAGAAGGCCTTGAAGCCATTTCAACTCACATGTCGTGTTGGCCATAGAACGATATTCTCGCCTCGCGGATGATCGAGAAACCGTATGTTGCTTCTTGGTTTTCCAGGAAACGGGGATTGACCAAGGAAAATAAACCAACCGGTGAGAGATCTTCGAGTGAGAGGACAACTTGCCCGATCCGAGTCACACCAACCATAAAGACGAAGGTCACTCTCTCTTTTAAAAGCACACCCCGACCCGGGCTGCCCTTTAAATAGCGTACCACGCGGAGTGCAGCCCGCCAATGCTCCTGACGCGGTTGGTGCATGAATTGAGATAGGACATGAACACCGTAAGATAATTCGAGTCGTGTAAAACACAAGTAAATAAGGCGACCGACGAGACGTCGATATTGACTCGGGTCGGAAAGTAGTTCGCCATCGCCCAATGCTAAACGATGATTTTCTTCGATTGGCGTGGACACGAGTTTCCCTCCAAGCAATCCTCGCTTCAGCCTATGATGTCCAACGCATACTTCCGTTGACACAAGAAAATTCCCGTAGGAGATCCGGCAACCTCCACCCCAAGAAAGTATTTTAATTTCCCTAAGTCCTTCATACGAAAACATTGATGAAGATAATCTTTGAATTGCGCAATGTCTTCATGATGATTGCCGCAATGACTAGGTCATCCACGTAAACTAACACAACCAATTCGACATCTCCTTTGCGAAAGATGAACAAGGAGTGATCGACGAAGAACGTTGAAACCCATATTGAACAAGAGCAGCTTGAGAGCTTGGCAAACCAACACCGAGGAGCTTGACGAAGACCATAAAGGGACTTGCGGAGACGACACACCATACCCTTTTGAGACACCAAGAACCCCGGCGGCATTTTCATGTACACATCTTCCTCAAGATCGCCGTGCAGTAAAAGCATTATGGACATCCATTTGATGGAGTTCCCAGCCTTTGGCTACCGCCACCGCCAACACCGTCCGAATGGTGACCATCTTTGCCATCGGGGCAAAGGTCTCGTCATAGTCAATCCCCTCAACTTGGTGATTTCCCAAGACAACTAATCGGGCTTTGAAGCGTTCAACGCTCCCATCGAATGATATTTGATTTTATAAATCCACTTGCAACCCGGAGGCTTCTTCCCTGCCGGTAGAGGAGTAATGTCCCATGTTTCATTACTATAGAGGGCCTCGAATTTCACTAGCCATGGCATCTCTCCATCTAACATCCCGAACAGCCTTCAAAGAAATGCACAGAGTTCTCTCTTTGCATGAAGGGTCGCAAGAAAGGTTCGGTGGGGGAAGGAGAATTTAGCACAATTTAAGTACTTTGTCAAACCGTAAGGCATACCCGAGGAAGCTGAATGTGGAGTGCGAATTGAGGGACCGAGTTGTAAAGTGGTGTTAGTGACATAATCACGAAGCTTCACGAGATGGCTTTCGTACACGAAGACCTTTCCCCGTGGATGCAGGGACAGTATGCTCCTCAGGAACCTCTAGTTCGTCATCATAGAGTCGGCTTGTTCCGGTGGGAGAACGATCCGGGTGGGAGGCTCTTGTTCATGGCATTCGCCGTGGCCCTCCCCGAACTCGGCTGTGGGCACATCTTCCGTTGTGGGGTTAACGTCATCGCCTCCACAACGTGTTCCGCATTGTTCATTGCACCAAGTCCAGGCAATGCTTCCTCGACAATGCCAACATCAACAGTAGGCAATCCTACCTCCGAATGTCTACCGTGGGCAAGAGAGGCAAACGGGAATTCATGTTCTACAAACTTAACATCTCTCGAAGTCCGTAAGACTTCTCTTTCCAGATCAAACAATTTCCAGCCCTTTTTTCGATTGAATATCCAACAAATACATTCTTGCGACTTCTACTTGCAAATTTGTCACCTTTCCTATCTTGGTTATGTGCATAACACAAGCATCCAAATACCCGTAGATGGTCATAAGTGGGTGGCTTCCCATTCAATATTTCATATGGAGTTTTTCCATGGAGAACGGTTGAGGGTGTACGATTGATCAAGTATCCTGCGGTCAAAATGCATTCTCCCCGAATTGAAGTGGAAGTTCTCCCCGAAATCGTAGAGCACGAGCTACATTTAGGATGTGTCGATGTTTTCGTTCGGCTCTCCCATTTTGCTCGAGGTGTTCCGAGTGCATGAGGTTTGATGGAGTATCCCATGTTGCTTGAAAATATCGTTGAAGACACATAAACTCGGTTCCATTGTCACTTCGTAATATTTTGACTTGTTTCTCGTATTGTCGTTCTATTAAGGCGATGAAATGCATTAAGGTTTGTGACACATCTTTCTTATTATTCAAGAGATATATCCACACGACTCGAGAACAGTCATCAACCAAAGTGAGAAAGTAAGATACACCACAAGACGAGGGAGTTCTATATGGACCCCATAAATCACAATGTATTAAATCAAATATATTGGATGCTTGAAAATCACTTAAAGGAAATGTGTTTCTGCATTGCTTTGATCTCTCACACACTTCACACACACGAGTTGTATCCGTATTTCTATTCACGCTCGTTCGGATGCGGAATTTTTCTAACAACTGCGGTAGGCAGGATGTCCCATTCGCTTGTGCCAAATCTCTAGTTGATTTTCTCGCATTGGTCCGATACGCCTTTATGCCACTCACACCACGATACCAATAGAGTCCCTCTTTTCGTTCACCCGCTCCAATCGAGCATCCTCGAAGTGTGGTCCTGCATTGCACAAAATCTATCGATGAAATGTACTCGTACATTTTACTTCATTCGTCAATTGTGATACCGAAATCAAATTGCAATTCAATTTCGGAACATATAGAACATATTTAAGTTTCAGTCCTCCATCAAGGAAAACCGATCCTTCTTTGTTTGCCAGCACCAATTCACCATTTGGTAGTCCCACTGGGCACCCTTCCAAGGCTCGACTCTCCCTCAAGTTTTCTAGTGTTCCTGTCATATGATTAGAGGCGCCACTATCAATAATCCACAAGTCACATGCTTTCTTACCGGTCATCTTTTCGGTTTCATTTGCCTTGCGAGAATTCAACATTGTTGTCAAGATCTGTCATTGCTCATTACTCGATCCTGCGACTTCGGTTTTTCGGTTGAATCAACATTATCCGCACCGAGTGTGCGCCATATTGACGCGAGCCGTTCCTCCTTTTCCTCGGAAGGTTCCTCGTTCTTTGTTGATTTTTTTCATCGTTTCTATCGGTTCGTGGTCTCTCTCCCCACCATTCCGGGTAACCAATGATCTTGAAGCAATTGCCTTTGTCATGTCCCTTCCTTCCACACTCGCATGCAAACAACCGATTTTTCTTTCGCTTCATTGCGCAACTTGTTCCTGGTTTCCGCTCGCATAGCCATTCCCACGATCATTCCTCGCTCTTCTTTAGACCCGGTGATTGTTCTCACCCTTTCTTCTTGCACCATGGTGCCATACACCCGATTCAACGAGGGTAATGGATCTGTTGCCAAAACATTTGACCGTGTAGTTCCATAGCCCTCATCATCTAGCCCCATCAAGAACTGATGAATTTTTCTTCTTCTCTTCGTTTCTCAAGTTGCGTCATAATATTACACTTGCATCCCCCACATCTACACTCGTGGGATTTGCTCGTAATTTGTCAGTTCATCCCACAACGTTTTCAACTTCCCATAATAGGAAAGCATAGTCATTCCTTGTTGTTTGCATTCTGCCAACTCTGACTGTAGCTGCTGGATTCTTGGTCCGTTCACGATCGAGAATCGTTCCTTGATGTCATCCCATAGGTCCTTTGCGTTTTCCATGTATGCAACAGTGGAACGCAAACTAGGTTCTATAGTGTTTAGTATCCAAGATACAAGCATCGATTGAATTGTCCACCAATCTTCTATCTCGGATGTGTCTTCTTCAGGTTCCTTATAAGTTCCATCTATGAAACCCCATTTCCTTCGAGCCGCGAGAGATATCTTCACGGCCCTTGCCCATTCCTCGTAATTCTCTCCTCGTAATTGTACCTGTGTAATCACATTTCCGGGATTATCACCGGCACTCGGATCGTATGGCGATGGTGTTTTCTTCACCGCCTCTCCTCTCTCTGCCATTTTAGAAGTACGACTGTGTTCTCGGGCTGTTGGATATCAGAGTTTGGTTCGCTCTGATACCATGATAAAAATATTTCCAAAAACCCCTGTCTTGTATTGAATATGATAGCACAATATATACATGAAATACAGAAACATTCTAGGCTATAATTACGCTAACCATTACAGTCGGTATCCTAAATTTGTCTATTAACAGATATGACATTAATGTGCATCACTGTGCATCGCTGTCATGCCAAGCTAAATATGGAAAAAATTAATCATGTAGAATCATGGCATGATACGGTATTTGTAATCGTATATTCTATGTTTATCAAATACTCATCATAAAAGTAGCGTTTTAAATTGAATAATAATTAATCATCCATCATTATCGACAAGGCAATTTCAGTATTGCAGTATTTTCTACACTTCACTGTTATGAACGATTCTACAAAAATTATCATTTAACTAAAAGGAGTTTTGTGTTAAAAAAGTACGGTCAATGGGTTCAGATCTTATTGTTAAAATTGTTGTCAACTATTTTGCAGAATAATTCACAGTCGATTGATAATGCTTCATGTTGTAAAGGGAAGTACACAGACAGATCAGGGAAATTTATTTCAGGTCATAAAAGACAGCGACCTTTGGGTAACGTGATGGACTTGCTTGAGTGAAGGGTTATTAGACCATATCACTGCTTTCGGATATTATGTCTTGCAGCAAATATGGCATTACCATAATTTGTGATTAATAGAGTATTAGAATCAATAGAAGAAAGATAATTACCACATGAAATCACGAATCAAGAGAGCACGTGGAAGCATAAGCCCATTTCCAAGCATGGCAAGCAGCATCGAAAAAGCTGACAAGCCTTTCATGTTCTCAGGATTGAGGTAATTTGTCCACTATGGCAGCATAAAAAGGTTAATAAAAACACAGGAGATAAAAGTTGAATTACACTTCTTTTAAAGCAATTAAGATTCTCATATATAAAGTTTACCATTTGTGAAACTGGCATCCACATGAAGAGTAGTGTAGCTGTCCAACCAGATATTCCTCCAACAAATTTGACACCTTTCTCAGAAAGTTTTCCAGTTCTGGCCTGCAAATTTTAGAGCAGAGCATTCAAAACGACAATGAAACTGAAAGCATATTTGCAATTCCACAGTTATCTATCTAGAAACAAGACCCCAAGTTCAAATTTCCTGGTTTCAGTAAACAAATACTATGCTATTTGAACGCAACAACTAGAAATTCCCATTTTTGCATTACCCTCTTTTTCATGGGGTTGGTGAAATAAGTGCTTCTGTCAAAAATCATTGGGGTTTTATGTTGCACTGATAAGGGTATGACGGTATGAGCACCAGCATTGGTATGGTATGGTATGCAACCTGGATTTAGCATTAAGCCATAATCAAAAGGGAATAAGAAGATTACCAATGTAACAGCCAAGACAGCAATCACAAAGGCAGTTGCCCCTGGTAAGATGCTGTTTGGTACATAGGGGACAAATGTCGACCACATTATCTGCACCCAGATTGTAAATTAGGCAGTGTGAGACAAGAAGTAAAAGTTATAGAGTAGTGTATCCATCTGCGCGAAAAGACATTATGTGAATTGGCATGCTTTCTAAGTACTTGAAGATGTCATTTGATATATATAATGTTGTAATTGTATTGATCCTATGGTGCTAGAAGGAAAGCACTATTACTTGGGGAAGCACTGATAGACCCCCAATTGTAATGAAATCTTCCCAAAAGCGCCAGAGTCCAGCATTTAGTAAACCAAAGTAATTCAAGAAATTCAGAACAAGGCCAGAGATCACAACAACTGAAGTGGCGAAAAAGTAAGGCAAAGGCATGGTTTCGGCCAATGCAAGCTGAACAAGGACAACATATGTTGAAACAACACCCAATGTCTGCACTACCATCGCTTCCTTTTCTCTCTTCTTGGCAAAGTATGAAAGTAGAGACAGGTTTCCAAGCAAACTAGTTAGCATTCCCTGCATTAACACCCATGTTATTACCCACCTAAGGTCATATCATATCATAATTTTGAAAGAAGCCAAAACCTCATTAGTTAAGATAAACAAAGTGAGTTTGCACTTTTGAATAAGTAAAGAAAAAATATACCGTCAATTTGGTCTCCAAGAGTGTATAACACTGTTACATAGTCCTTCTTAAGCCAAGTAAATTTCAGTTGTTTCATCGAAGTCTAAAAACTTAAACACGTCCTATAATTTCGATCCTTATATATATATGTGTGTGTGTGTGTGTGTGTGTGTATGTCTTAATATTCACATTTTAATTAATTTAGGATTAATGCATTTGACTGATTACACTTTTTGGACCAGTTTAAAATATTTTTAAGTTTCCGTTGACTTTACTATTTGTTATGTAATTTATTAGTTTCCTTTCCTGGTTACCTTTGTAATTGCCATCTAAGGACTACCTCTGGTAAATCACATTCGTCTTATCACTCAATCAAAATAGACGCAATTCAGTATCACATGCTTTCTCTGATATTCCATTATACCCTTCCCGGAACCTAAAATGACGATTCACTCTTTTCAATACAAGGTAGAAAAAAAAAATTAGTTAACAACCGTTCTGGCGATCAATTAGCAACTCAAATAGTAACATAATAATAACATTCTAATATAATTGTGAACTAATCATTTTCCTTAATCATCTAAAAACTTAAAATGTGGGATCAATGATTTACCAGCCAGGGGACAGCCGAGAGAGCGGTTTTGTTTCCGGATAAAAGGTTCCGAGCATTGAGTATGATTTGCGGCATTTGCAGCAACAGAAACGGAATATTGGCGGCGGCGGAGAATTTCGCAGTGAGCGAATCCCATTGCTGGTAGCTTTGGTTTCTCCCACCGCTAACTGATCCCTTCGAACAGTGCTCAACAGTGAGCGAATCAATAATAATGAGAAGAAGAAGAAAAAGAAGAAGAAGCAAAATAGGTACCTGGTTTGAGGCGCCGGAATCGAGAGCTTGTAGAGCGAAATTATGGCGGCGTGGAGGGAAAGCGTAGAGTCGGAAGTGAGAAGAAGGAGAGAGGTTGAGGAGGAAAGAGGGAGTGCTCTTAAGGTGTTTGAATTGTGAAAAATTGGTGTTGTGAGGGTGGTGTTGAAAACGATTACGGTGGCGTGGATGATGAGGAGGAGCGAAAGGTGTGGAGAGAAAGGTATTGGCCATGGTTTGAAGTTTGCTTGAAATTGCGTGCATTATTAGCATGGAGCATTCATGATGAATGCATTGTTTGTGATTTGAGAAACGAAGAACTACGAAAGCAACAAAGAAGAGAAGAGAGTGAGTGAATGCGTGCAGGGATTGGACGGTGGAGAGATATGCGTATCTCGAGAACAGTACACGTGGATTAACCCTTCTTTCTTTCAACGTTGTTTCCTTTACCGCCAACTCAACTTTATTTTTTTTTTCTTTTTTTTTTTAAATTAAATAATAGTGCCACGTGGAATCTGCTTTGCTCGCTGAATCGAGAGGGAAGTTGGAGTAATAATGATTTTTGTTATTAAATAATTAAAAGAAAATGATTTGTGTGTTGAATAAAAAAGGTGGTACAGAAAGAAGTTAGATTAAACAAATACTCTGTTTAAATAGGTATCACTTTTTTTAGATCAATTTCTATTTTTTGAAATTGTATGGCTTCTTTTATAATACCGGTCCTTTCAATTCAAAAAATTAAAAAAAATTCTTAACTAATAATCCCATTTTTCATTCTATAAGATTTCATTTTACACTAAAATTTATTTAAGGATAATCTCTTCAATGAAAATGTCAATGAAAATATTTTTTTTACTATATGAAATACATATAATAATTTTAATATAATAATTATGTCATCCAATCACTATTTATATTTACTTAAATAAAATTAACCTACATTTTGAAATAAACTATAACTTTTTTATCTATTTTAACTTAATATGAGATCAATGAGTTAATTTTGTCTTAATTAAATTTTAAAAAATTATAACATATTTATATAAAAATATTTTATACAAAAATTAATAAAAAAAATTATATTATAAAAATTTACATAAAATTAAAATGTTAATAAAAATAATTTTTATTTTAGATATAACATATAATAAATTGTAAAAATAAAAATATAAGATGTATTTATCATTTTTATTAGTAATATAATAATATAAAAATAATAATTATTTTAATTAAATATAACTTAATGAATTATAAAAATAAATAAATATTAAACTCTTAAATAAGTTAATCACTTATCAAATTAATTTATAATTAATATATATATATATATATTAATGGAATAATTTTTTTATTTAATAAATCATTATTATTTTATAAAATAGATATACGCATTATACTGGTTGACTTATTTAAACTATTTAGATTATGAATTGAAGTAATTAGATTGATTTTATTTAAGTTTAAAAAAATTAAGCTCAATATCTTTAAATTGATTCTAAATTTTGATATCCTTATTTTAAAAATGTACTTCACTTTTTAACCAAAAAACGTTTATTTTAAGTTTTTGACGTAGTTTATCTTTTAAAATTAGTAAAACTTAGCCTGGTTAAACAATTTCTACATTTATTCACAAATTTCAATTTATATCATTTTAGTTTTTATAATTTAATTTTCTAAACTATTTCTATATTATTTATTAATGATGTGATATGTATCTAAATGTGAGATAATAATTAATTTAATGTTTCAAAATACATATAATGTTACACAGAAAACATTTTAAAAATACAATGAAATCTATAAGACCCTAGAAAATTATTTTTAGAGTGTTAAAATTCAAAATTACCCATATTCATTGGTACTAAAACAATATTTAAAAGGGGATTTACAAATCTTCAATGTTCCCTTATATCGTTGTCCTCTTTCTGAACGAGGAAGTCAAATTTCTACGTACATACTTGCGCTCTGTATATATACATTGTAACAAATTTCTATGATGAGTCCAAATTTAATGATTCAATAGCATAGCCTCCAATTCTCTCTTCCTTGCAACATGTTTTAGTTTCTCCACTGCAACAAGTCCAACTTGCCTCACTCTTTCTCTTGATAAACCCATCCTGCACAGAGAACACAAGAAGAGTAATTAGTAACTTGCAAAAGCTTATGATCTAAGATGCATCAAATAAGATAACTATGGCAAAACTTTGGTTGATATGGGCATCCAAGAAAAGAAGTAAAGGGAATGGTGGGTTGAACTCACCGTTTACTAATGTCTTCCCATGTAAGACACTCTTTATCTAGTCCATAATAAAGTCGAATAATTTCTCTTTCTCGTTCCTTAAGGGTCACATTCATGAGTTTGTTCACTTCATCCTGTGAAGATTTACAAGTGGTATTAATCATTATGGAAGTTTATAATATTTGAATATTTACAATGTCATCATATTGTCCACTATGAAAATTATTCAGATGTTTTGCAATTATCCAATAACTTCAAATCAATACACATATATATACTTTAAAGAGAATCAAGACATTTTAACAAACAGTTTTCTGCATGCAAACAATGAAATGCCTAAGCTATGCAATTAAGTCGGGTTTGGTTCAAATATTTTCCTAAATACCTTTAGTGCCCACTCATCTACTCCCTTCCATGGAATGTTCTCAATGCGATTATCTGCAATATACTGGAAGTGGAAAGCAAAAAACACCAATGAGACAGTTTATATTCTTCAGAGAAAAGAAAACAGAAGGCAAGGAATAAGAAGAAAGCAGTTCTCATGATCTTCCTTGATGGACTAGTGAGTGAGGAGAAAGGTATTAACACTTACACTATGATGAGTTTCTCCTCGTAGACCATTCAGAGAGGGGAATGCTTCTCTATCAAGCGAGATAGTTTTGCTGATAGCCTGCAATAAGTATAGTTATAGACATCGAAAACAAATGGATAATAGAGAGTGTAGAGACATTGCATGTATCAAGTAAGAGGGTCGTGTAATTCTCAATGGTTTGTTACCTCAGTAGCATTTCTGACTTTCTTTTGAGACATGTTAAGGTGTTTTGCAATCCTCTGTAAAAGAAGGGAACAGTTCATAAGGTCAACCAATATTTAGAAATTTCAAAAAATTTGATACAGACTGCAGTAGATTTTTTTTTATACATTTGGCCGACTTACATCAATGGTTGGAGTAATGCCTCTCTCTTCTAGTCTAAATTTTGCATTGCGGATTAAAGATAATCTCTCATGCAAATGAGCAGGCAATCTTAATGTTCTTGAATTCTCAATTAAGACTCTTGAAACACCCTGTAGGCAGAAAAAAGTATCCATGGTGATTGGACATATTTGAGATGTAAACAACATAATCTTATAGGATTCTTGTGGAAATAGAAAGGGAACAAAATGATGCCGAAAATGCATTCTCTATACTAAAGTTTTTACTTGATTAACCACACCCAAATTCATAAATTATGAATGCAGAACTGCCAGAGATTTAATACTGATTATAAAATAAAAGTTTCATAATACCCAGTTTACAGAAATTAAGAGACAAATAGAAGTATTTAACAGAAATTATTTTAAATAGAAATTCATGGCAATATTTTCTCATATGCAGTCCTTTCCATTGATTTTAACTTAATATATTGGGTGAATCTTATGAGATGTTCTGTTTAAAGAACAACAATGATAAGGATGTTTGATAATCAACCATATAGAAGGCTAGTCTAGAAGCAAACATACAAAACCTCACCTGACGTATCCACCAGTAAACATAAGTTGAAATCTTAAACCCTTTTGAAGAATCAAACTTTTCAATACCACGAAGTAGTCCAATCAAGCCGCCCTACAGAAAAAACTAAGATGAGTATTTGACAGAAGAGAAAGGAACACAGCCAACCGGATTTGAAACCGAAATATGTCCATAATCACCTGAACCAGGTCACCCATTTCTGCACCAAGGTTATCATATCTTTGAGCAATAGACATAACTAAGCGAACATTGCTCATAGCCAACTTTTCTCTAGCCAATGAGCACTCTAGCATTTTTTCCCGTAGTTCGGTACGAGAAATCTTCAATGAGGTTGCCATTTGATCTTCAGAGGGTTCACATCCTAGCCTCTCCTTCAGTCTGAAATTCACATAAAAGGTTTATTTACGTCAGCTATCATTCTCTTTGAGGTAAAACCATAACCAATGGAAGCCAAGTAAAAAAACAATTTGCTAGAATTTCCATTCAGACACATAAAACAAAATAAATGAAAAAATTTCATTACAAAAGACTATTATTTTATGACTCTTAATGATTTAATAACCTTTTCAACATCCTAATGCAATTCTGAACAGAAAATTTCTTCCTCTATCAGATATAAGCTTTTGAAAGCTAACGACGATGGGAAGGAAATATTTGATTTCGTTAGTTAAATAAGGTAAAAGAAATTCATATTAGTTCTCTATGTTCAACATGGAACAAAGACATATCATATACACTATATGATACATAAACCTGTCAAGAAAACCTAGGTTATGGAATTGACAACAGAGTTTTAAACAATAGGGTTGTAATAAGAAAATGAAACTGATAAAATGATAGCTGTACAGAACAAATTGTAAAGAACAAAAGCAGAGACCTTTTTGCCAGGCAAACTATAATCATATCTGCCTATTACATTATCAATTACTAACTCCCCTCTCAGATTAGTATGATTAAAATAAAAGATTGAAAAATAAGGTTTGAAACTTCATTAAAAAAATTTCATTCAAGTGATCTCGAGAATCTTAAACACGCTGCATTTGTTTAACACAAAAAGTAACTAACAAAGTAGCAATTACATAACATCGAAGATAACAGGCAGACTATAAAAATAACAGATTCTTCATCACTTGAACTAACCATAGGATCGACCAATTACGCATTACCTGGATTTATGCTCCTCTAAGGAAAGCCCAACTTTTATTTTCTCTGATAGGCTTACAACTTCTGCATGAGAGAGCAATTCCTCACCCACCACACCTTTAACATAGCCCTTCAAACGGTTTTGAAGAACCTCTGGACTGATTTTGGACTTCAGTTGTATAGCCCCACACGTCTTAACCGTGGTCTTCCGCTTGTTATTCATTCTTCTTTGCCTTGCAGACACCCCAGAAGAGGTCACTGCTGCCACTTTCCTACGGTTTTTTGCTTTACTCGAATGTTCAGTTAGCACCTCCCTTTCGAAGGAAAGGCTCCATTGCTTTTCCAGCATTGACTTCTGCAGTAAAAGAAGAGCCTCCACAGAATAACCCATTTCAGAGCTTTCCACTTCTAAGTCATTGGAATTGTAATTCTGAAACCATGTATCCTCAGTGGTAGCAGCAGCATCAACATGCTCCTTAAGAACCTTAATGGACTGATTCTGTCGGTTCGATACTGGAAAAGTTGGAGTGTAGTTGGATGATTTCTTGGCAACTATTACAGATTTCGCAGAAACAATCTGATAGTGTGCAGATCCAAAGTCACTCCCATAAGAAAGCTTTTCTATAATATCAGAGTAATGGTAAGATGAACTCAACAATCTCTTTCCTCCACTGAGTCCAATAACTGCAGCACTAGCCATTATATCCCTTCCTAGCCACTGTGTATGATTACCATCAAATCAAACTGTAAAACAATCTAACCCGTGTCCACTACTCCCTATTGCTTTCGGAAACTTCCCAAATTCTTTCAATCCTTCTGATAAATCAAAGAATAACAAGAAAAAAATATGAATTATTGTTACAATAAAAATAGTCAAGACTTACTGTATAAAGAGGATTGATTAATAGTTTCTTTCCCCCTTTCCCCTGAATATATTTAATGAAAACAACAATATAAACCTGTAGCACATAAAACTGGAAGTACTAGGAACCCAACCAATTTCAATGGAAATACAAAACCTTTGGTATGTGTATGAATTGAGTACCTGAAAAAATTGGAACTTGAAGAATGATGATTGCTCCAACACTAATAACTACAATTTTGAATCACTGAATCAGCTGCAGCTGCACACTGCAAAGGCTTCACTCACAAAACTGTTGGTGTGGAAGCAAATAACTATGCTACTACAATTAGATTTTTCTTTTTTTTTTTCCCTCCTTTTATTTATTATTATTCGTGTGAGGAGGAAGTTAATTTGGTTGAGAAGAAGAAAGGAACAAAAAATAGAAATGAGGAAAAAAAAATGAAAAGATAAAGATATGGAACAATGAAAGGTTATTGGTTGGAACAGATATTGGGACCAACGTTGTGTGGTGTATGATGCGTTATGTTCTCTGTTCTCTTTATTCCACGTTCGCGTTCGATTAACATTCTCTATATTTTTATCCACAACTCTTTTTTTTTTCTATGATTCTATATGCTAAACTAATTAATAGATTTTTTATATTACTGAATCGAAACAAATCACACGTCTGCATATAAAATATAAGTACGTTTTGGGTGTACTTTACAAATTTAAGTTTGATTTATTTAACACGATTTAATGATTAATATTTATTTTATTAATCTTGTCATTTGTTTTAATTTAATTTCTAGGAATTTTTTTTCCCGTTGTGTTTTTTTTTTTTTTTTAATGATGCAAGAAATTGAAATGCAAGATGGGCCAGAAGACTAACAAGAGGGGCCCAAATATATACACGTACTGGGCTAAGTGAGGCGGCCCAAGACTGAAGAGTACTTATTGACTTTTTAAAATATTTCAATCATATTTTTTATAACTTTTAAAATAATCGCTCTTCTAATATTGATATTTCTTTTTTTAATTGAAATGAAAAAAAAAAAGGTTCCTTTCATTTTCTTCCATTTTAAGTTTTTACACATTTTTTTCTTCTTTTTTCTTTTTTCTTCTCAGCTAAACATGGGATTAGTTTTTGTGACTAAGAGGGACCAATGGTCCAAACAAAATCATCTAAACTTATAATTCTACAATTGGCTTTTGCTTCGTGGATGTTTATATCTCAAATCAAATACTTAAAATATCTTTTTTATGATTTATTTTTTTATCTTAATTTTTTTCTATTTGTGAACAACTTCTATATGTTCTATATGTTCATTTTGATTATTTGATTTTTTTTACTATTACCTTAATTGAAAGTTTTTTTCTAATAATTAAAGGTAAGTAATTGTTAATATTATTTATGAATTACCTGTTTCTGCACTCAAATTTCATAAATAGATCAAAATTGTTCAATCTGAAACAGTGTCACGAAAATGAAGTTGAATTATGAAAAAGTCAATGAGAACATACATTCTAGATTGGCTAGTCTGAAATATGTTTTTGGAAAGACCAATATGTAGGGATTAGATGTTTTGGAATGCATTTCGGGATTAAATTTTCCGGAACACCCAATCCAGAATGCAGTCCAACGATAAAAATGAAGATAAGTGTAAGGATAAAATGAATTTTAATTTAATTATAGGCGTGCAGAGAGAAATGATGGGGTGCAAGAAGAAAGATCCCTACAAGAATCTTCAATGGGGCCTGCTATCCCTTCAACCAGAGCCCATATTTACTTGGGCCTGAGAGTTTGTCAATGGAACATGCATTTGTACAATTCATACTGGCCCACTTTTTGGGTGCAATGAAGTGGACTTTTCTGTTTATGGTATTGCTTTTCCAACCTCCGTTTTTTATTTAAAGTCTTGCCGACAAGTGTTTTTAGAATATAAATTCAAAAAATTATATGAAAATATATTGATATTATACAAATAATATTTTATGTGTTTCAATAAAAAAAATTTCCATCTGATTCCTTTACTGAGCACTGATTATAGCATGTCTTTGATTTACACATTCCTCTTCTTGTTTCTAAATTTTTTTATATTCTGAATTATTTTTTTAGATTATACTTAACTTTAACACTTTCCAAAAATAAATAGGTTTTTACAACAAATGTGTATTGTGAACATTTTTTTAATCACAGTAATTATGGTATTTACCAATTGGGAAAATGTTAAAATATTTCTATGAATATCCTCTCTCTTTTTTTCGAGACTAGTATTTATTTCGAACTATGTTACATTTTTAAAAAAATATGTGTTTTTTAAAAATGTGTTGTAAATGTGTATCATCAACGGAGTCGAAATCACAAAGCACATGTTTATAATAAAATTTGTTAACACAAATAGTTATAGTTATTAAATTTCTTAATTAAGATTTGAGATTTATTTTTCAAATATAAATGAAGTCATAATTAAAAATAAAAAAATTAATTTTATCTATTAATGTAAAATATAATCGATTAATAGTCCATTATCGACAGTTTAAATATTCGTTGAAAAATCGGATAATTATATATAATTTTATCTATTTTTATTATTAGAACCTCTCAGAGAAGAATTCTTTGATAGAATATGAATAATTTTAATTTTATATTAAGATAATATATTTTAATTTTAACCACTCTCATGAATTATTATAAATAATCCTATGGTGGATGTTGTTATGATATAGATAAAGTTGCATGACATGTCTTTTATATATATATATATATATATATATATATATATATATATATATATATATATATATAGATGATATGTGTTGGCATGTATCTATATATGGAGATGGACGAATTCTGTGGGATAAGTTGTTTTCTTTAAGAGCTGCGTGGCGGTTTTAAAATTAAAGTGTTTCAACTCATTGTGCATAAGTAACTATCAGTGTCCCTTTTTAAAATAAAGTAACAGCGTCATTTAGTTAAAATATTTACTAATCATATCAATAAGCTTTACATTAGTGGTGAACATTAAGGTCATCACTCATGTTCCAAATCATGTTGCACTATCTTATTGGTAAATCTACTTTCCCATAGTGGCTAATACTTTAATGAGGTTATTATATTTGTCACGTTCATCAGTATCCACAAACTCATATGAATCAAATTCATGGTTCAAAATTGTTGGACTAAATTAATTAATGTTTCTTTGAGGCACAATCAAATTTGGAAATCACTAACTGCATCGTTAGCTATGATGAGTCACCCCACTATTCAGTGGTAAAAATATAAAAATAACAACACATAAATAAAGCTTTCCTTTAAGAATAAGAATGATGCTTCGTCTAATAATTCTTTGATATTGAAGTAAGGGATTTTTCTTTTTTTGTGGAGTGTTATGAAACATTATTGTCACTACTATCAGTTTCTTGCTTTCATTTCTTGCTTGCATTATTGTTAGCCATAGGCAATTCTATCGGTTCTGAAAGACCTTTTGCCATGGATAACATTTATCCATGAGACCATCACTGTCTCTCTCTCTCTCTCTCTCTCTCTCTCTCTCTCTGTCATCTTCATTTCCCATTCTTCTTCATCCCTTCTTCAACATTTTTCATATATAATTCAATCTGCGGCAAACAAAAGATTAGAACTACATTTATGAATAGCAAAGTGATGAAAAAGATTTCTGTGTCTTAAGATATTATGACAAACTATATTTGTTTATGTATTATTAGACTCTTATCACACACCATATGATATACCTTACTAAAGTTGGCGAAGGTGCATCCATCATCAAACAAAAGAAAATTGTAGATAGAGTCCCTCTTGGGGGACCACTTCATCAGGACTTCAATAATGGGGGCTAAAGCTTTGAATGCTAGGTTCTCCTTTTTATTTCTTTTCACGCTTGATAATGAAATGGATTTATTTGTGGACGAATTTTTCTACACCCATAATACATTAGGAACAGGAATAATACCGACATAAATTTTGGACCGTAAATTTATTTCTTGTATGTACAATAATATAAACCAATCAACTTGGCATGCCAATTGCATCCTTTTAGAAGAGGTTGTGCGCTTTGCAAGTTGTTTTTTCTTAACAACTATCATGCGTTATTTCACCCCAAACTATTGACATGGAACTACCACTTGACCAATAAAAACACAAGGGGAAATTGCAAGCTGTTAAGGAGGAACAATGCTTCTAGACATATACTCAAATGATAATTGTTTTGCATCCATTGTGCTTGAACATTATTTGACTAAGTCCGTGTAACAAGCTCCGAGAGAGAGTAATCTTCAGCAAATAAGAGAATTGTCATGTAAACTTTTGAAGCCACCTTACTGAAGTCTTCTGGGAAAGAGTTCATGTTTATTTGCTCCCACAACGGCTTAATATCCTAAGCCATAGTAGTTTTTGAAATGATGAAATGTGCGTATGTAAGTGTTTATAAGTTTGTTAGTCAGATTCTGATGGAAGTAGCAACGGGTTTGACCCACTATCTTCTGATATCGGTGTTGAATGAATGACCAGGCTCAAAGATAAAGAAACAAAGGCCATCCTCAAATAAGTCCAACTGAGGGGCTTGAACCAAAATCCACAAAAGAATGGAGCTTAATCTTTACCAGCTATTTGTACTGAAGGATTGGTGAACCCTTTAGCCATTGAAAAATGCTACAAAAATCAATTTGTAAACTCACAAGGACAAGTTTCATTCTTGGCCTCCCAACAAAGTGGTCAATTTCCAAAATTTAAAGGCAAGCAATTCTTGAATAGCCTCCGTTTTGGGAAGACACTAGGCTAGAATTGGTAATTGGGTATATCACACAATGTACAAAAACAGACATCATCTCAGCCTGTCCACCGATATTAAGAAGCATAAAAGTTGAAGATGCCCTCTCCATATAAACATTGTTGGGCATGCTCCTCTTTAATTTAATGAAGTGAAGCAGTGAATGAGACTTACAGGCACTCCCTACACTACAATACAGCAACATAACATTGCCATGACCCTATGGATTATTCTTACACATCGAGTGAAGATTCCGGTGTTCTATTGGACCTTGATTCTTCAATCTTTGTAGTCACCTCTGCCACTACTAGCCTGGTCAAAAGCAATCCTGCAACTAAAGCTGCTATCATCAACATTGTAAAAACAGCACTCCAACTCTTTGCAGATATGTAACCCGTTAACAAGGGTCCAACTGCAGCCCCTATAGAACCGGTTCCATCAATGATTGCTGTGACAGTTGCAAGAGCTCGTGAATTACCCTTCAATGACTTATGTGTTCCCAGGTCAGCTGAAACTGCAGTGGTTATAAGAGCATAAGGCCCGTTCACGAACATGCCAGTGACGAACATTAACGCTCCATTTACAATCAAGGAAACGTGCCCGTAACTTCTATAGAAGAAGAGAGCGGGAATTGCACAGTACATGAAACTTGCTGCTGTAATGGCTCTAGCTTCTAAGCGATCAGATATGTGGCCCGCTAGAATTCCTCCCAGCACTCCTCCAACATCAAATAAAGTGGATAGAGTTCCTGATGTCCCACTAGATAGATATTTCCCATCAATTGCTTCATAATAACGAACATCAATCAGAAACACTAAAGATTGTATGAGGGAAAATGCATTACTTATGTTTGCTGCAACTGTAAAAGGTAAGAAACATACAGATTATAGATAAAGATATAAAGTTAAGTACCTGTGTGGCTAACATAGAATGGGAGCCAATAGAGAAAGGTATATGCAACTAATTTGGCAAAAAACAGACAGAGGGCAAATGGAGCAACCCCAGGAATTTTCCATGCCTCTAAGAACCCAACTGCTTCTTTCTCCTCAATTGGAGTCTCTTGCCTTAACAAAGGCTCAGCAGCTTCTTCTCCACTTTTTATAGGATAACTGATTTCATCTTCTTCTCTATCAGCCCCTACAGACTCGGGTGTAACCGGCAATATAAGGAAAACCACCAAACCAATGAAAGCAATTATTAGTCCTGGTAAAACAAAGGACCACCCCCATCCATAGGTTAACATAGCAGAAGCAATCAAAGAACCAACAATATTCCCAATGGAAGTGTGAGCATTCCAAATTCCCATGATCAACCCTCTCTTGCTCTTTCCAAACCAGTTACCCACAACAGCAACTACAGAAGGCCATCCAGTGGATTGGAACAATCCAGCAAGCATTTGAACCACTAAGAAATAGTAGAAGTTGTGGATGTTTCCCCAGTACCCTACTCCAAACAGTGAAGTAAACAAGCCAGTTCCTACCATCCCCACGGTTAAAAAAATTCTCAAATTACATCGATCACCCAAATGTCCAGAAAAATACATCCCAAAAGCATACACTGCAAGAAAAGCAACATCCAATTGACCAAGAAGGGATGTCCCATCTGATCCATTAAAGGGTGCCCAACCAGCTCCAAGTTTCGAAGAAACACTCCTTAATCCATTTGACTCACTAACATTGGTCGGCCTAAACCGAAAGAAGGTCAGGCCTATATCTGGTGATTGGGGATCGAGGACACTCTTTACAATACTTGTGGTTTTTCTGGTAGCATGATAACTAGTATAAGCCAAAAATGTTACAATCAGAACGATGGCTTGGTAGGTCTGGAAGGAGAGAGGGCCTCCATTTAAGTACTGTAGAACCCGAGCTCCAATGAGCTTGCCACCACTTCTCCGAGCCAACACTTCTGGTGCCGAACCCATGTAGAGGAAGAAGTTGAGCTTCCCCTAGTAGAATATAACTGCAAAAAAATGAGAAGAAAAAAATAAGCAAGTTTAACTATGCTATCTTTCCTTCATCGAACATTAGATTTGGCAGCAAATTCCGGTTGCACCTTAAGATAGTGATATCAATTATAATTTTACCTTCCACTAACAAACAATACAATCATACAAAAGATTCCTTTAATGTATAGAATGGATTTATCACAAGCCCCCAAGATCTTAAAACAATTTCAAGAGACGATATTTATCTTAATTCCAGGAAAACTTTTCTCGACAGAAACCAAATATTTTTCTTACGCTCGTCACAACAAAGCATAATCATCAAAGAAATGTACAAATCCGTCTGATTTGACTATTAAAGATAGTTTGAAATTTAAAAATTTTAAAAACAGAAAATTTATAAAAGTGATGGGTGCAGTATGGATGGACAACATCAAAAAAGAGAATCTGGAACAAAATCCAAAACAAAATCTACAGAAAAGATTGAGATGAAACAACCTCGGGAAACAAAAAGGTTAGACAAACAAAACAGCCCAACTATTAACCTCTTGACGGTTACTCCAAGAGTAACGAAGAGTAATTAAACGCACCCCAGAAATTAAAAATTAACGAGGAACTGACTCAGACAACAGAAGCTTGAAAAAGTGCAATGAAGAAAATTTGCCTCCTCAGGAAAAAAAAAGCGAAAAGAGATAAAACGTACCACTGAAGCAAAGTGCAGTTGAAGTGATTCACCAACACCACCGCTATGAGAGTTTGCGTCTTCTGGTGTGTTTCGTGACAATTGCTGAAATTTAACCAAGGAAAAGGAAAACGCTCATCTCTTTTCTCTTGAGACTCAGAAACAGAAACGACGTGTAATTACTTATGCTTGACGCTTATGTTTATTTTATTATGCGAAATCTCCATTTTGCCCCCCAGAGCACGCGTTTCTCTCAAATACCATTATACCACCGGCTCCTTGAATTCCGAAAATGCCCTCTCTCTCTCTCTCTCTCTCTCTGAATTAATTAACTAATAATTATAATGTCATGGGTTGAGGTAGTAAGTAGTACGGTAGCCAACCCAATAGGGAGATTAAAAAAAATGTGAAAATTTTTATTTTGATTTTTTATTCATATATAAATATAAATTCATAAAAAAATATTTTAACTACTCACCTCATCCAACTAACCTATTTTAATTTTAATAAATAAGTTCATATGTTTTAAATAAACTCATCTAGTTCTTAAACTCACACATTCTAATAAATAAATTAATATTAGTGATATAATTTTCAGTTCCTAAAATAATAAAGTAAAAGTCACTCATTTTTAATATAATTTGCGGTTAATACTTATTAAATTATATGGTATTATCGAAATATTGGAGTAAGTTTATAGATAAGAATATCATATTTAATATGAATTATATATATATATATATATATATATATATATATATATAAATTGTTTTAAATTAAAGAGTATTATTTATATGAAAGTAATATTTATATTCTTAAGAATTTTTGAATTTTTTTTTAATAGATTCAATGTTCTGTTTTCTAACTACTCTTCATATATAAAAGATCAATAATATTTAAAAAATTTCTATCCACATCTGTGGATGATGACATAAATAATTTTGTAGGTTTTAAAATAAATTAAGCAATGCAATAAGCTCTTATGATGGAATATACTTTTTACAAAACTTTTTATTTCAATCACTTTTGGTATAAAAAAAAAACTATATATTTTTTATTTTATAGATTCAGTTTTTTTTTTTAATAAACTTCTCATAAATGAATTAATAGTCTGTTTTTTCATACAAATATTTTGCTACTTTATTGGTTAAGAAGATTGCAACACACTGTCAACAACAACAACAAAAAATTTAAATAGAATCAGATATACTAACACATATTTTAAGATGGATATATTAATTTAAATATAACATAATGTTATATTATATAATCATTGTGAACCGGGTCAATGTACTCATTGTTACAAATTTCAAAAACAAATATATAGAATATGAAATAAAATAATAAAGTAAACTATAATATATTTAAAATTCGTTTTGAAACTTATTAAATATAATTTTTAAATTATCTATTTGTAAATAGATTGATGAAATATAGACTACACATATTATTCATTAATTTTTGCGTGTTGTTCACGTCTCTTCGATGGAAGAAGTTGCTAGAGGAGGTTAATGTCACATAATAATTGGTTTCAAAATTACAATTAATACTATATCTTTTATAATATACAATCATTTAAAACATAAGAATTACAAATTTTATTTTATATCTTTATCATTATTAATTTATTATAATTATTAAATTATAAGAAAATAATAATATTTTTTATTAAAATAAGTATTTTTTTATATTAAATAGTTAAAAGAATATAAATTTTAAAACAAACCAATTTTTAATAGTTAAACTAAACCTTCTAAGATTAGAGTTCACACATGTTAAAACTTTATGAAACAATGATGATGACATTTATTAATTGTTTGTGTATTATTAATTTGAAGAAATTAATGAATGAAGTAGAGAACACTGAAGACATGTCCCTTCTTATTGTATTTGTACCAAAATTTATATTACCTTACACTTCTAGTTGATGTTTACCGTATGTTATTTTTGTAAAAAAAATTATAATATTTTGACCAAAATATTAATTGCAAGAAAAATATATATTTTTTATCAGTTTTTTATTCGTGTCAGTTGGAGATTTTTTTAAATTATATTTGCCAAAATGGGTTGATAAAACAAATTCGGTTGACATTTTTCTTATTTTGTAGAATTTTCTTTGTCATGTCCATAAAAAGAAATTCGATAGATATTGAAAAAAAAATCTTAATGAAAAAAATATGAGTAATATATTTAAAAAGTTATTAATCTTAACTAACATTAAGAAAATCTTAACGCAAAAATAATCCCTACGTTGTAAACAAAATATAAAGATTGTTTGATTTAATTAAATATTTTTACTATCAATTTGGAAAGATTAGTTTTGATAGTATGTTAAAAATATTATTTAATAATTTCAATTTAAGAAGATTATAAAGATTTACGGTATAATATAATGAAGACATAAATATCATTAATAAAAAAAGTGAAATTTTCAAAAAAATTAATAATTTTAATTTATTAGTTTTAACAAAATAATTATTACACGGTTAAAAAAATCTAAACAAACAAGTCTGTAATATCGGTTAAAATATCACCTAGCATGAATATAAAATAGTCTTATATGTTTTTTTTTCCTTGAAATCGTTCAACCCAATCAAGGTTAATAAACTTATGAAGGAAAAACAATCTTATATGTTTTAAAAACTGGTGAAGAAATGAAGATTTAATTAAAATTTAATTATATTTAATAAAATAATATTTTTATGATATAATAAATTTATATTAATAATACTTTTCTAGAAAAATATTAAAGATTCCTATCGTAATTGTAAATTATAATAATATTATAAATATAAAATATATTAAAAGTGTAAAATAAATAGTTATTAAAATAAAAATAAAATATAATAAAATAATTATTATTTTACAGTTTATATAATTAATATAAAATTTAAAAATATATTATATTTTATAAAAAAATATTAAAAAATTGATTTTTTTAAAATTTTTATCAAAATTACTTAAAAATGTATTGGATTTATTTGATTTTATTGTGTTTTTTTATCTTAATTTAATTAAAATCTTATTATTTAAAATAAAAGGTTGATTTTTAAACCAATTTGTAATTAAACTAATTAATCTGAATTATTTTCAATACAGTGATTTTTAATTATTAGTTTATAACATGACAACAAGAGTTAATGTTTTTAAAATACTAAAATAATGTTTTAAACGGCATAAATAAAATCATGAGTATGATAGAAGAAAATAATTAGAGAAGATGGAGGAAGTTACCTGAAATTAAGCAAGAACAGCTCAAGGAAGGGACAAAAATATCAACGTCAAATAAATATAAAACAGGTATTTATAAAATAAAATAAAAATAGTTGGCAAAGTGTGGGGTCCAATGCAGGAAGGGTATATTTGACAATGTCACGGCAATGGGAACAGCTATTACACTGTAAATATACACCAACTAGAGGGGTAAAATGGTCATATAATAAGCGGCCACTCTTTATTGAATTCAAAAAAATGAGGAAGAGAAAAAACGGATATTCGAATATCCGATTAGCATTATTCCTTTTGTGGAGTGGATATCCGCCTACAGACAAAGTGGGCCCCACATCATCTCCGTATCCTATGTGGACATTTAAATAAGATGATGTGTCAAAACTAGCGGATGATGTTTGCCGCGTAGCCATTTTTAGCCCACGTGTCGCGCTGCAATGTTTTATTTTGTTTTTTCTTTTACAGTCGTTATAGGTTAGTGAGCCCACTTTGCTGAGTTGTTTCACATTGTAATAATAATTTTTTTTCCCATTGTTCACACTGTACACATAAGAGTTTTTTTAGTGAGACTCTACCATCATTGATTTATTGTTTAATGATTTTGTAGCAAGTTTTTCTTGATGTTTGGTGAGATTTCAATAGAGAAAACATCACTGTTTTATGTTAAGATCTTGGGAAACTTTATATGAATCGGTCACAACCAACTAACTACAAAATAATGGGAAATATTAGTTCCGTCGGTATGTGTTGGATGACCTCGTGTCCTTTTTTTTTTTAATTCTTTCCACGTTTGATGGTGATCAATAATACTTAAATAATGTACTCCATGATTGTTAAAAAAGAGATAAATATTTAGAAAAGATGATTGAGTGAAATCATTGGTTAAAAATTTTAAGGAATAAATTTTCCTAAATATTTGTTAATTTTTTATTATAAGATAATAAGAAAAATCTATTTTCCATTTTTTTCTACTCACTTTTATATTTTTTAAATTTTGTGTTTAATTTTTTATTGACATAAATATTTTGATTTTAATAATTTTTTTATGTTTGATATCTTATCAACATAT